CTAACTGAACAACGCTTGCGTCACTATTTGAGGACCTGGGAATGAGAAACTACAGTGGCCGGGAAGCTCTAAAAAAAACACGAAATACCCTATTTACAGCCAGTGTTTGGTTTGTCCGTTCTGGGCTACTGTAGGCTCATTTTAAGGTAACAAAAACAGAACAATTCCTATATTTAGATGATTATACACTAATGAAAACATACTTATGATTGTTATATTCTTGTTCTGCCAATAGATTGACAGTGAAATAATGTGTATTTTTACATTTTAAACAACATTTCGTGAGTAAATCTGTTAATTAGAAGAGATTATTGTTCTGAGATGTGTGTTGCAGGGCACTGGAGCACTTTGTGACTCCTCTCATGGTAAAGACACAAGAGCATACATGAAAGAATGCTTTGTGTCAACTGCAGGGAAGTTATGCAGATATCCCTTCTGGTGCCTCGCAATAAAATACTGAAAGACAGATGCAGAGGTAGACCCACTACATATGCATGCATTGTTTGTCTTCGTATGGTGTGTGTGCACGTGTCTCAATCATCTCATCCCCTAATCACACAGAACAAATCGTCTTGTAAACAACCCCGAGGATTATCGCGCAATTAGTCAATTCAATACTGCGACTGTACCTTGGTGCGTTTATCATATAGCAGGTTGCTCGTGTGTCATAAATTATGAATTCCAAGTCTGGAAAAATAAAACTTTATCACCTTTTCACAAGCACAGTTGCAGGTGGTTTCCAGCATTCAGCACTGTGAGTGTGTGTATTGGTGGTTGTGTGTGTGTGTGTGTGTGTGTGTGTGTGTGTGTGTTTGCCCGGGGCAGTACTGTGGGGAAGGCTATAATAGGTTTCTATTCCTACATATGTAGTGTAATGCTCCCTGGCAGCAGCAGGAGTGACAGTGATTGAAGAAGTGCATCACATTTGAACTCATGTCACACTTGATGCCCCTGACTGGCAGAGAGCATCCATGCTGTTTAACCTGTCTCTGTTTTTTTTTAACCTGCTGACATGAATGTGTGTATTACTGATCAGTTACATTACAGCAGAAGTTAAATGAGACTATTGATTTCCTTTTCAGTAGGTCTGCAGGTAATTATTCTAGATAAATAATGATAACAAGTGAACTTCTATTAGTCTCTGGAATTAATGCAACGTAAGTGCTGCTCTCATAACACTAAGAAGTAAGGACTCGTTGACATTTTACCCATAAAGCCTTGCTGTTTTTAAGGTTATCACCGCCACCTGCTTAGAAGAAGACTGAGACTGCATTTTCAGAGCCTCCCTGCTGTATCTGATTTCAAAAGGCATCGATTTCACCAGGCCAAATAAACTAAATTACAGAAGTAAACACACCAGTGAGTGTAACCTTAAAAGATAGGTCACACCAGCTTTAAACAGACACATTTCAGAGCTTAATAAGACACGCATATCTTTAGTTTGTTCCAAAACAGGAAGCTATTGTAGTTTATAAGCTGTGTTTTACTATCCGCATTAACTGTTCTGTTCGAGTATGATGCACACTGGCCCAAAAAGACTGTTTCCCCATAAGGTTACATTGTTAAAGAAGCAGCTGTATCACACCCGTTGTGGCCCAAATGCATCATTTCGTTGGAAAAAATATAACAAATGTATTTATATATGTATATTTTTTGCTAAGATAAAGGACATAATGTGTTTGCAAATACAAATTAATAAGGCCATTGTCAGACATATTTAATAAAAACAGGAATAACATTAACAATTCAGGTTTAAACTGCTGTGCGTAACGTTTGTTCAAAGTCAAATTAAACCCAAAGTCATTCCACATTTGCATTGAAGTTGTTGATCATTATCTTATAAAATTACGTTTATTAGTGTTACTTTAGTACCAGTTCTCCACTAAACATCCTGTGATTTCAACACAACTCACAATACAACTTACATTTACTCTCTCTACTAAAATTATACTGCTCCCTCTATGATTACTCCACTACAACTATAACGAATGCTATTTCTGCTAAAATAATTATAATAAAAAGACTAACTCCAGGCGGTTCTCCTCACCAGGGTATATACGATAAAGAAAGGTACGTAGGATATAATAAAGAAAATACGGGGAAGCAGCTCGCGCAAAGATTTTTAAAAGATTACTGAGCAGAAATATTAAAATGATACGGTTGAATATACACTATGGTGGGATGGATGGGGTGGGTGGTTGTGTGTGTGTGTGTGTGGCAGCAGTATAACGATTGGTATGTGGGTGAGAATGTCAGTGCGAGGATTTAGAAAAAATAAAATAAAAATGTGTGTGTATGGATGGTGTGAGGAGTGTGGGTGTGTGTGTGTGTGTGTGTGTGTGTGATGCTCTCCATGGGGGATATAGCCAGTAGATCGCTCGCAGCATCTCTAGTCCCAGCGTCCCCGCGGACATGTGTATGTGTGTGTGTGTGTGTGTGTGTGTGTGTGTGGTGTTCAGTAGATTGGGCTGCAGAGTGAATGGGCTCATTAGCGGTAGCAGAGTAACACATGGCCTGGGGCACACATAGGCACACAGCACACACACACACACACACACACACACACAGACACACACAGTCACACTCCAGACTTGCATACTAATGCCATCAGACTGTGAACACAACGAGCCTCATTTATAAAAGATTCTTATATTCTTATGCACCAGTCTTGAGCTTTTACAAGCAAAAGATGAACTCATGAAAAATGTATCTCCCCGCCAAAAAAAGAGAGAGAAAGAAATCAGATGTTTACATGAGTTCTGTACAATGTTGTGTGATGTTACAAAATTGTTCTAATGATTAATTAGGTGACATGTTCCCCTGAAGATGTTACAGGAAGACAATAATGTCTCACAATGTGTAATAATAAAACTGAGGTGGAGCTCTTTCTACATCCCGTTCCTTTTGGGTCAGCTTTCTCCTTTAGGCTACTTAGATATGCTAACTTATGTAAAAAGACAACCATGGTTAAACATAAAAGTGACATATATAGTCATATCTTTAGTTTATTTAATCTTAGCAAAACCCTAGCTGACTAGCAGTTACCGATTGATGCAAAGTAGGTAGAGAGTTGGCTTTTGTTTTGCTAACATAACTTAAGATGTAACTACATATGTCAGTCTTTTAACCATATTCAAATGTTGGTTATCTTTTTAAAACTAGGACATAGCATATCTAAGTACAGGAAACATGTAAGTTAACCGAGGCTCTGACTGAGGGTTGCTCAAATGTTATTCGAGCACTGAGCAAAAATGGACAGGACAATCAGTTAGTGGTCAACTATTAAATCAATCACCAACTATTTTCATAATCAATTTATTGTTTTGATTCATTGTTTTAAAGAAAAAGCTTCTTAAATGTGACTGTTTTCTGGTTTCTTTAGTCCTCTATGACAGTAAACTGAAAATCAACATTTTTCACCACCAAACAACTGATCAAGAAACTGATAATTCAATCATAAAAATGAAGCCTGTGCTATTTACAGCACCCTTTAACCATGCTCTGCACCTGTATTAACGTCACAGTATGAATTCTGGCTAATAAAGTGGAGACACTGCAACCAATAAGACTCAACTCTTCCGACATGCACATTAGCTCCGGCCCCCTGCTGGAGTGATTGACAAGGAAAGACTCTGCTGCCTCACATTACACTAAAGCTGCTTTCACTGACACTGACATTATTACATTTTTCTGCTCTGTTCACCATCAATTCAAGTCTAGATTGTTACATTTTGATTTGCAAATTTAGTTCTGTGTCAACTTTTGGGTGCGTTCTACCTATAAAAAATGCCTCATATTTTATAAAAAGGGTAACATGTTTTTGTATATTAAAATGTCATCTGCATGGTAACTTGTTACTAAATCTGTCAAATAACTATAATAGACTAACAAAGAGAAATACTTCTAGCATAAAATGGACATAATTAAGTACAAGTACCTCAAAATTACACTTAAGTAAAGCAAATTATCTCAATCCGAGGACATTTCCAAGCAAGTTTAATAAAAAATAAATCCAGTATTACAGCCAGGGTAAAGCTTTTTATTTCAACTACACGCCACCTTGATATTCAGCCATATGCTCACCATATGCTTTCTGTTTTGGATGAACTTCAAATGTTAAATTTGTGCTAAGCCATAATGAGATACATTGGATAAAAACAGGGCCAATGAAAATCTTACTCAGTGACCTTCTATCACACAGTATGTATATACAGTATGTATCATGACACACAGGGTTTTTATGTTTCATCCTTTGAACCCGTAATCCCAGGCGAGCGTGCAGAAAACCCTGTTCAGACGTGGAACGATTTATGCACTAACCTACAAATAAAGTGAGTATAGAGGACATCTGCTGCCTAATTCCAAATGGTACAGAGTTGAGTGTGTGAGTGCGGGCTGGTGACTGGGGTTATCAAGTGGGCACCTGCCATCACAGATGCTTCAGCGAATTAGAGCCACTACACCTCCAGAAAGCTTAATAGTGGGTTGAACTGGCAATAACCTTCAAACAGTACTAATCCCAGAAAGAATCCCAAACATGCATCCAGTGAAGAGAGCCTCTTCATATTTTAGTAAACTGAGGGTTGCGTCAGTGAACGTTGCACAGTCACAGTGACGTCTTTGACCTTAAAAAGTGCTTTCAACAACAACTACAGAAAAAAAAAAAGGACAGATAATCATCCGGCACTGACCACGGCTGCCTCAAATGTATGTTTTCGGGGCAAAGAGCATTTATTTATAGCTTGGTTGTTTGGTTGATACTGAAAGTAAACGCACTGCTTTGACTTTATACACTCTCTCAAAGACATACTGACCACCGGGCAATAAAGAGGGATGGTGTTTTAGCTAAATGTCCCAATGCAGACTAAACCTATTCACTCAAAACAAGCACCACCACGTATAAAGAGCTAGTATATAAAATACGACTATCATTGCTCCATTGTGTTGTATCATGATAGATAAATAATTCACAGGGTTACAACACAGAGTCTTTGTCTTACCTCAGAGCTGTGCCTCTGGCTTTGGGCTTGTCAGACACCTGTCAATACACATACACAGAAACCACACGTTAATATATTCAGTTTAAATCCTGACTGCAGTTTTATTGTTGCTATGTTTGGAATGAAAGGTCATATATCAAAGATTGTAATATAATGAATATGTCTGTGACATGAGAGCGTGTATGACCAACATGATGAGGCTGTGCAATAAATCCACATTAGACAGTGAAGATGAACGATGAAGATCTGCCATTATTGACCCTCTAATAGTTTAATTAAATGTAATGTAATGTGTAAATCTTATGACAGTTCACCATATCAGTTCATTGATCAACATATTAATATGATAGGATTCATTATAGATCACTAGATTTGATTACATTAAAAACATATACGTACATATAACATATGAATAGATTCAATTGTCAAACACACAACAGGATGTGTGTAAATAGCAGCAAAAGGAACATTTGTTAGTTAATTGTGTAAAATGTGCAGCATAATTCATTTTTCAAAAAATTTATTATTTCAGTACCATATTCTACATATTTAATAACACTGCAGATGAGACAAATTACTGCAATTATCAATACAACAACTAGTGTTAAACATGTAAACTCTAAAACAGTTTATTATGGAGTTATTCACTCGGGTCTGAGTATTAAAAGCCACAGTGAGGAGAAAAATAAATTTTAAGCATTTAATCATAATATGATTTTTTGTTAACAGTTGGAATATTTTGAGAAGACATTTGTAACTTCTTTTGAATATTTCTATTAATAAATTGCAGATTTACAATTTGAGCATAAAGTCACAATTTAAAAAAGTTGTGAGAAACAAAATAGATTATAGCATTTAAAGAACATTTGTTCTGTCTTATTGCCACTGTTTTTGAAAAACAGAGAATGAAGTTGTCATTGTTAAAAGAGTCACTATATATTAACACATATATACATATAGACACACGTATATATTACAAAGTTGGCCACCATTGAGTTTCAGTTTTGACCTTCCAAGGTAAAGCTTGGGCCCCCACAGATTGAAGCACTTTAACAGTTTGTTTGGATTTTGGGGGGTCTTAGGAATAACATAATAAATAATATGTTTACGGTCTGACTAACTACTTTGAAAATTAACAAAAATAATAGTGACATAATATATTTTTTAAACAAAGAACTTGGTACATGGAATAAAAACAGAATCAATCATAGACAGAACTAATTGAAACAACTTGAAGACACTTTCCTTTTTTTCAAACCCCCTCCCTTTTCTTCCCTCAATCTGCTCCCCTGCTCTTCCTCTCTCCTCCAAGAGAAGAAGAGCAGGTCTTCTTGTCATTAAAATAAGGAAAAAAAAACGCTCTATTTTCTCCTTATCTTCTCCTCTTTTATCCCCTCCTCCTCCCTATTTCCTCCCTGCCCTCTCTCTTCACCCTGTCCTCTGTTCGCTCCTTTATGTCTATTCATACTTCCCCTCCCTTCAGTAAAAGAATAGGGTGATTAGGTTTGTCAGTGAAGCCTTTCCTCCCTCCCTTCTCCCCTCTCATCCTCTTTTCCTCCCTCCGTCAACTCCGAGTCAATTTTGTACATGACTACGTCAATTACAATAACAAAACAAAAAACAGTCAACTCAATTTCTGCAAATATTAGCCATTAATTCATCTTCAAGCACCAAAACCCAACAATTAAAATAAATTACTCAAATAAAAACAGGACCTTTTCCTCGCCTCTGGCTTGTTGTTTCTCACTCTCTCAAGGAATAAGGTGATTAACTGGACCAGTGAAGTTTCTGATAGATCGATGCGTAGCTGCAGGCTAGAACAACAAACCTCCTCAGATCTTTGGCTTTGGGAGACTTGCAGGGCTCATGGAGAGGATCTATGTGTGAATATATTTAGCTGGTGGCTTTACTTGGATTTAAATGAAGAACAATCCAAACAGTATTTATTCACACAATCTCCTCGGTTACAACGCGGCTGTAAGTACTGTTCCCGACAAAGAGGACAAGCTGTTTTACCGAAAACAAGACAATCGAAAACCTTAAAGCTTTAGAGACATAAAGCGGTCTGTATATGATTTATGTTTATTTGTCAAATCCCCCTTCGCCCTCTTCTTTCTCATGTGGGTGCACATCAGGCCTGGCGATACAGTTTTAACAAGGCTTTAAACACCCCCGCACCATCTTGAACAGTAACTGAACAATGAATTCTTTGCTTGTCTATACGGTGTCGCTTTACTTTGCGTGAGAGACTTTATAAAGCATTTCTTTTCACCTGAACACCGGGTTCAAAATCCTGGAATTCTGATGCAACTGTTGCGCAGAGGTTGCACTGCTGAAAATATAGCAGCTACTGGATTTTCACTACTGCCAAACAAAGAGACTCTATATCCCGAATTTTAGCATCTCTCCATCGGCTGCCAGTTGGATTTAACACAGCTGAAGACTTTTAAATTCTCTTTGACACCTGACTGTGTAGAGAAATAATATTAGTCTTCAGAACTGTTCATCTTCTAGAGCCAAATTACACATTAATGCATGATTAGATAAACAATCACTCATCCCTGACTATTTCCTGAGTTAATGTGACACATGTAATACCGATCATGTGCAGAAGCTCCCAGACAAAATGAACAAATGTTTTCCTTTCTCACATGTCAACCAAGATATGAGATTTCTCTGTTTACTCACCTGCCTTAAAGCCCATGTATTTTCACCCCTTCCTGTAACCTTTTAAACTTATTGATCGATGCCTTTCTATACCTCACACACTCTTGTTTGCTGTTTTGCTTTGACCGTCTGTTGTGAGTTATCTCTGTTCTGGGGTCGATTAGTACCCTCTGCACTTTGCTTTCTTTTCCAGGATAAATTGAGCTGCACTTCTGCAGAAGACTGTGTACTGGTTCCCAACCTGGAGGCCCAGACCTCCACTAGGGGTCGCCAAAGGGGTCACAAGGCTTTTTTGATCTTAAGGGATCATTTCTGTGGAGAAAACAAATTACGGTAATTTGTTTATATTTATAACTATCAATAATTTTTAAAGTTTAGATTATTACTGTGTTTTCCATCCTTTGTCCTTAAGGGACCCCTTTTCTATCATGGACTAAACTGCCGACCCCTAAATGACATACTTTTATTGATATTTCATATTATATTCCATGTATCACAATAACAGTATAGAACAACTGATAAATTGTAAATAGTGAACTCAATAACTGCAGCAGGATTATTTCCTGTAAATATTGATCAGAGATGAGTTTTCATAATATCTTTAGGAACTTTTTAACGATTCTGTCTGTATTATGTTTTTATTTATTAACTTATTTTTCATTTAATTAACAATCATACATACTTAATATGCTTCTTTTTTAAAACAAATTCAGTGCTTTCTTCTCCCTGATGCTTGTTCTATTAGCTTTTTATAACTGCATATGTTTTTAATGCAGGGCAACGAGATATAGGCCTACTGTGTATATTTACAATGTTTTCTAACACCCCTTTCAATCCAGAAGGCCTTGCAACCCCCCGTGAAGCTTTCACAGGTTGGGAACCACGGACTTAAGATATAAAGTAAAAGAAAATCCCACAGGATAAGGCCACAGTGAAGCCCTGTATACCTTCACTCTCTGCAAAACAACCTACGAAAAAAACCACTGAATTTGTCGCCCATTTTACACAAACTTCCTGCAGTTATTGCATTTACTATTTAGGTTCATTGTACAGTTTAACAGTTTTTTTGTACCGTTATTGCTTATGCATTGAGTTTGATATGAAATATCTATTAAATATATGCCACTTAACTAGAAGTTGTCCATTTAGTCAATGACAATCTACGTATACCACTGGACACAATCTGAGCTAGGTTGTGAGACCAAAGCAGAACTGTCATTACCTCAAAAACAATAACATACAAACAATAACACAGATATCCAGCATCATAGCAGCTTCCTAGTCCAGGCTGGCGATTATACAGACAATAAAGTAAACTGCATGAAAAGCACCACATCAAAATAAGCATAATTATTCCAAATACACGTTTGAGCTTCTTGAATCAAAGTCGTGCTTCATGCAGCGTTTTGACCCTTTTCCTGGTTCCTGTTTTCTCCATCCACACACGCTTCACTTTTTCCTTATTTATAAAACGTTCTTGCCACTGCACATTTAAACCAACCCAAACTGTGATTTGAGGTCACTCTGTAAGTACATGCTTTAGATGCTTAGTGGTAAGTTGCCATTGAACTGGTGAAAAGGGAAATTCGCTCCCTTCATGGCTGTTTTCAGAGGATTCGGGTTCGACATGTTTAAATGTACCCTTCACGCTGTTCTGTTTACACTCCAGCAAACACACAGTGTGCATCCTTAAGAGCTAACAAACAAGCTCAATGTATTTCCTTTTTCATTGTACTCGACAAATCTGAGTTTTTAGATATTTTCTTCAGTTATTTTCCCTGGTGCATTCCCGCCAACAGCTATTGATCAGGGGAACAGAATAAAACCATCAGTAGGAGAGTGGATCGTATTGCCCAACATACATGAGATAAACAGCGTACCTGCAGTGTTAAGTTTTGTGATCCTACATCGAGAATACAGATTATGCCAGGGTTTCCCACAGTATTTTACAGTAGTGGTGCCAAGTCTCGCCTCAGTTCCTTCACTATTGTCAGAGGAAATTATTAAACTTTTATGAAATATTAGTCTTATTAAGTGTCAGAGCCGTGGCGCTACATCACAGAACAAATCTCACATATTTTATGAGTGACACTATTTTTTTTCTCTAGAAGCTACTTTGATAACGAGATGAGATGCTTCAGGATGATTGATTTGATTGTTCACATCGTAGTGTGTTCGCTCGCGGTGGTGAATCAAAGCAACACGTAGCAATGTGGGATAGTCAGACAAATCCATCCGACATCAGACTCAAATTAGTTTGATGATCACTGGTTCGACATACGTTTTAAAACTTTGACATGTCAGAGTAATAAAAGTAGAGATTGTATCACATTAAATAAATTCATGATGGCTAAATTCCATTTAGCTGCTT